TGAATAGAGAGCAGGCTTGGTTGGCCAAAACACACAAGAAACCACCCTTAGTTGGCAGGGCTGTACTTGAGTTGCAGATGGGTTTTGCAGCTGCCTTCTCCTGTCAAGGTGTTAAGAGGAAATGCCAGGCTTCAGCAGCAGCAGGGTGGCATTACCCTCTGGCACAGCTCCTCTGATAGGTACAAAAATGAACCTAGCCCCAGCTGATGAGCAACCAAAGCCTCCTGTGAGATCCCCTCCTGCAGCTGGGATCTCACAGAGAGGTAGCAATTGGGACCCAGGCAGTAGAGGAAGCCATGTACAGCAACTGTGCCAGTGGAGGTCTGTTCACTAGCCCTCTGAGGAAAAGCAAAAAAATGTCAGTTTTGTCACTCCTAGCTGTCATCCTGTCAGACCAAGTTCAAGTGAGGTTTGCTGGGAGGGGTGTGTGATGCTTGGGCTGCTGCTGACTATGTAGTATCCCCTTCGAAAGACACAAATAACCTCGATGGCTCCAATTTTTAAACAAGTACTAAAAAACTTTTTCTGCAAGGGACAGTGGAATAAAGGAAAACAATGTCAGATTATAATCAGCTTGAATAATTTAAAATAAACACAGAGGAAATAAAATCTACCCTGTTTGCTGGCAGGCTTGATGGCTTACAAAGTACTCACCCCACCCAAATCAAGGGCTTGAAATGGAGCAGCAGCAGAACAGGAACCCCTGATAGTGTAAGATTTGCTTTTCCCTGGTACCATGTTGCCATCCTCAGGGATAGAAAAAGCATCATTAGGGTTTAAATAGAGTTCAATGAAAACACGGAGCACCCCAAGGATCAATTTTCACCATGGGCAGCTGCAGCACAAGGCATTAATTCTTCACCCTCTCTGGTGACAGGAGAAACGCAGGGAGCTGTAGGCACAAATAATGTTAGACTTCTAGTGTGTATTTTGCTTTTCATGCCTACAATTAAATGCTTGCTTTACTTCCTGTTGTTTAAAACTGTATTTATTCTTTAGCGCTGCAAGAAAAACCTCCTGTATTTTTTTAAAATTTGCACTGGGGACATGTTTGAAGGCCCATATTGCAGACCCAGCAAGTGGCAGGGCAGCCGCCAAACCTTGCTTCCTTTGTTGATTTCTTGATGATTTAAGACCTATTTTCAGCAGCTGATCCTGGTTCCCCCCCTGCTTTTTTGCTTGGTAACTACCATTTTAACAAAATGGTGTTTGTGCTGTGCATTGGAATCAAGAACTGAGCTTTTAAATGTAAGACAGGGAACAGAATAGGAAAAGCAGCACTAAAATCACCTACACACCATGGCTCTTCAAGCTACATGCTTAGAAATATATGGCAGAACCCTTGAGCTCTTGCAGAATAATATTTAGATTGCTAGTCTTTTATTTCATATGTAGCTAAAATTACTGCATGTTTCTGATATTTGTGTTGTTTACCTTCCCCCAGCACAAAGTTTGAAATTATTCTCTGAATCTACAGAAATCAGTAAATAAAAAATATTAAAATCCCCTGTACTGTTGATCTACATTGTTCAGACTTTTACTGGCTTTGCCCACAGGGACAAACCCTATTGTTTCAAAGTACAAACAGGAAAAGATATAGCCTGATCAATGGCTTATTTAGGTGCAAGCTTCCTTCAGAAAAGGAGAATACACTTTCCCCCTGCTGATGCTAAGATGCAAATCAAACCAGATTTGGTACAAAAAAGTGTATCCAATGCCATCAGCATGATTATCCTCTCTGCTCTAGGTAACAACAGAGCCTTTCCTCAGTATTGTTCTGTTGTGGAGAATACAATACTTGGCTTAATAAATAAAAACCAGTTTCTACTAATTATTTTTACAGCAAATAATTCTCTATCTAATGTAAGCCCATAAGATGCCAGCACACACCTTGTTGCCTTGTTAAAGCATAAACCTCAAATTTGCTAAAAATAGCAGTAACTAGTAAGGATGAAACAAAAAATGCCAGAACATTACAGACACCTGAAAATAAAAACTGAAAAGGAGATGACTTAAGGAATTTTCAGTAACATTTAAGAAGTAAGTGTAACCTTTAGGTTTAATGAGCGTTACAATACATCAATTACAGAGACATAGTAATTTAAGGGAAGAGCGTTCACTGGCAGTCAGTTTGGTCACAGACTTCATTTGCTTCACAGGGCAGGGACAGCACCCTGTAATTAACAGTCATCGTCAGAAGCCATGTCCAAAGCTTTTTACCTCCTTGCAGCACGCCTTTCTCACAAAGCTGCAAAGGTGAGAAACTCTCCTTCTCCACTGACAGAGGACTTACCCCTTCATCTCCATGGATCGCTGCTGTGTATACATGGTATTAGAAACGTATTTTAGACCTCTAGGCGTGACCCTCACATGCTACTAGGGGCTTCTACCACCTGCTGCTCCTCTGGTTGTTAAGGGTACTGACATAGAAGGATGTCTAAGCAGCAGTCCCTACTCACTACTTAGACAGGTTTTTGACCTCTGCTAAACCCCCAGCCTTGTATTAGGGGACACTGCTCGATGGAGACTACTCAGACTTATTCTCCTCTTTCTTAGGTAAGAAGTCTCTGTGTAAAATTACACTTAAGGTACTGCACTTCATTGCTAAATCCTGTCTTCAGCTGATTCACCAAAGATGCTTACTGCTGCAAGTGCCAGACAGGATGAGAAAGGAAACACACAGAGAAACATGCCTAGTGAGGGTCTAACAATGCGTAGAAGATCCGTGCTAATTCTAGCAATGATTTCTTCTCAAAAACTGACTCAGGTCTGCTCTGTCTATGAATAGGAGGATGTTCAAGGATACTGATGATACCAAAACTGCTGCTGATTCAGCAAACGAAACATGTTGATCAACAAAGCAATGACTAGTACAACAGAAAGATCAATGAAGGCTAAACTACGTATGATATAGTTAACTTTTATTTATTCTTCCAGCTGTTTGTCCAGTCTCTCCAGCAACTTCACAGAAAGTCTGAATTTGAATCTGAAAGATTTGGTATTGCTTCTAGCACAGTGGATTACATATGCAGATGAATAAAGGCTTGACTGTAATTTTGCACTTTAAGGACTTTCGGAAAATTGTGCATTAATGGCGCATAGTAACTAGAGACTTACTGTATTCTTTCAATCAAAATTATGACAGAGTAGAATTTAGACTTTTTGATATGTTTGTAGCACTGCTGTTTTTCCCCTATGTTTTGTGGTTCTCATAAACCAAAGGAACTAGCCTAGGTCTGACTGCTCCTTTCAATTGCATATATTGTGTAATAGGAAAGAAAGCGCTGAAAGTCTCATTGCCATTAAACTGGCCACAACGGATATTATCACAAAACAGGAGATAAGAGAAATGACTCCAACTTACTAGATTACAACTTTTGTGACTAAATTAAATGCCTTCAACAAATACTTGATTTGATATAAAAATATTCAAACTAACTCTCTTTTCCAATGTAGTATTTATATGGTGATCCTCCTTCTGGAGAGAAGAGTTCACTTGTTTCCATGTTTCTCCTTCCAGTACCCCATTTGTAGTGCTAACACCCCCAATACCTTCTTCTGAGAACTATCAGGAAGGGCTCTATAAAATACTGTGCAGGTCAAAGAGTACAAGGTGGCTTTGAAAAAAAGAAAATGTTCATTAAGAAAAATGCCTTTTCTTCTAATCTAAAATTTGATAGGCTTGCAGACTTTATCTTAAACACAAACAATTTGGTTTCTAAACGTCTCTACCTTTTTCTTTTCTTTTTTTCAAAATACTATCAGCTGTAGCATGATGTAAAACTAGACTGAAACCATTGCTTCATTTCCATATATGCTAGTGAAAAGTTGGTGAAACTACTGAATTCAATATAAGGAATTGCTGGTTTAGGCTTTCTATATCCTCAAAGACTTTTCTTACATGGCTTCTAAAACTCTTAGTCCTTCAATAATAAAGCAGTCCTTTGTCCAAAATTACTAGGACTGAGGTAATGCATTTTTGGTTGAAAATGCTTATTAATTATGAAGATTGGACCTCTTCTCGAAACATATTGCAATTGCTAGCCTTTGAATCATGGTAACTTCTGAAAAGATAAAAAAAACCCAACCGGTGCCACTTGGACAATCAGGTATATAAAGCAAACACTATGTCCTGAGGCAATCACTACAACACTGAATCAAACACAAGGGTACAAAACGTAAGACTCCAGGAATCTACTGATGCAACTTGAGTGTTTGGTTTTTACCTTTTGAAGATGGCTAGAGATTGTTTCTATAAGATTTTGAACACTATGAGAACAAATGTTTTTCATTAGCCATCCTTCTCCCACCCCATTCACAAGAGTTGAATATGTGTGTGTGGCTTTGCTATTCACATAAAACCATTATCCTTCACATCTGCTGTTAAGTCTTGGTTTGCATGCAAAAGCCTAATGCAATGCCTCCATCAACGGAAATTGGGCTCAGACCTTTGGAGCTGTTTACAGCCCTCAGATAATGCAGCAAGAGTCACAAGGGGATGGGTCACAGGACAAAATATGCCCCCTCCTCTGTAGAGTTGCAATAAGGCTTCTGATTTTGTTTGCAGCTTAATTTCCAGCCAAGACCTTCAGTATTAAACATAAAACAAAATTTTGCCTATCAACTAGCTAAAAATACCTGTTGTTTCTAGAGGCAAATTATTTGCATAATTCTTAATTATTAAGCTTCACTGCTCAAAACCCATCCACATTTTCTAGGTGGACATTCCCATGGAAAGCACTATTTTTAATCTAAAATAACAAATTTTAGAAAGGGTAGGAGAATACTGCCAATCAAGTAACTTGATGATATTTCATTGCATATGCAGGTAGTGGTGCTATAGTGAATAATTTCAAATTAAATGTCTTCCAGTGCCACTGTATCATCTGCATACTATTCATTTAGTTCCTTATATTTAGCAGAAGTAGGGCACATTTTCCATATGCCATTTATAAGCAACATACACTGTTAATTTTATTCCTTACTGGAAAGTACCCTGGTCTATTTACAAATTAATTTGGGAAGTGACATCATGACACTTAGCCCCAAATGGTGCGCCTGACACAAGCATGAAAGAAAGGATGAATAGGTGGGATTTTGCATTTGGCATTTCAGAATTAGGGAATGTAATATTTCCACTTATATACACTTAAAATTATTTCTGAGAAGACATGTTGAACTTAAGCATTAAGCTAAATACCTATAGCCCTACATTCTTTCATCAGTTGTTTTCCAAGACATCATTCATTCCTTTGTTGAAAGTTTGCTTCTTAGCAGTATTTATCTTACCTGGAAAAATTACACATCTATGAAAGAGCTTTATTTCATTACATTGGTACTAATATATTAGTACCATATTTGTTATATTGGTACTAACACATATATTCTTGTTATATTGGTACTAAAGAAGTAGAACTTTTTCATAATGGCAAGGGGAGCTCGTTAGAAAAACACCAGAATTGTACAACTGGAAATAAAAACAAAGCATAAAAGCATAGCATTTCATAAAAGATGAGCTTTCAACTGAAATATTAAAAAAAAATCTCCAACACCCTGCCACACTAATATCAGACCAACTTGAAAGGCACTGAGAATTGAACTGTGCAACTCATATCCATACCTGTGAGAGTAACAACCACAGCAAGACACAAACCTCCAAGGCAGAATATGACACTGTACAGTCCATTAGGCATTCCTGGTACATACGACAGTTTTATATTTTTTTTAGGATAAGCTGAAAATATTAACTAAATATACAAATTAGATTGTATTTCCATGGGGAAAAAAAAATAAATCCAATTTACACCATCTGAAGACAAGGAAACAAGGCATAACATAGAGGACGTTGTTGGCACAAGAAAATGTTATCACATCAAAACACGCCCTTTTAAATTTAATCCAGTAGATATATAAAGGAATGGTGGTGGCAAAGGCAAAGGGACAGGACGAATATCAAATATTCAGTTTTAAGCATGCCAGTGAGGTCTCCATTTCAGAAATCTGACAAAAAATGAAGCTACCAAAACCATTTCAGAGGCAAGAAAGCACCTATCAAGACAGTCCAACCCATTTCCAGGCATTCTTCTTGTGGGCTGACACACGCAGACTGAAGGATCTGTCCAGTATTATCTCCATGCCCAAGGCTGCCTAAAGCTTCCCATTAGCAAATGCTGCCTCCTGGAACTGAGGGACAAACGTTTTGAAATATGCCCTAGTGAAAAAAAGAAAATGCATGGTTAGGAAGGAGTAAACTTAGAACATGGTGTGTGCATCTATACAGCCAAAGTTTTAACAGAGAAGCATAATGTTACCATGCTCAATCCGTTACTAGATCTCATAAATGGGTAGTGTTTTTCTTACAAGTTTTTAGTATGCAGCAGATCCATACACTTCAGCTTTCTAAACCCAGCCGTACTTCTTTCTTCAGTGTCCTCACCGCTGACCTCTTAATGCGGTCAACATCAGTAACTTGACACTGTCAGAAGAGCCTGATGGACCAGCCATATTTTATCCAATGCAAAGCTCCAGAGGTAAACTGTATTATGCACTGAAAATAAATCTTTGAATGGCTGTAGAAGTGAGAAACACTTAGATGGCCCACAAGTGTGGCTACGTCACTGCCTGCAGCATTTTATAACTGGGACTTCTTGATGCAGTTGATGTTCACCATGTTTCTGGGATAAAAAGTTCCCCCGCCCCCCCCCCGCTGAAGAAAGCTTCACATGTGGTACCAAAGGCCCAAAGACAGACAAGTCAATGGAGCAGGAAAATAATGAAGAGAAGTCAGAATATGTGCAGGAGATAAGCTCTTTATCTGTCTCCTTACAGAAACCTTGATGTGATACAGAGTCACTGTTGATGGCAGTACTTTACATAAGATGTAGCAAATAAATACTAACACCTTGGATGAATTGTAATTCCTTTTATTAGACTTTGAAAGTGAGAACATTATTCTATAAGTTAAGATGTGCTTTGTATATTTTGGATCTTAGTCTGTCTTCTTTACAAAGAATCAAATGACTCATAAATCTGTAAAATGAGCTGATCTAAGGATCCAAAATTGAGTGCGAACTCTACCTTTGAGTTTATTGCACTGAAATACTCAACTGCGTACTAAACATATTTTATGTATCCCAATTATACCCTTTATTTGCAAGTTATATTAGAAGCTGCTTCATCATTCTGCCTTTGGTTTCTGCCTACTACTTTCTGCACCAAACTTTCACTTTCTCTTATTTTTTTTTTTTAAACATTTTGTTTTCTGTTCTTATTACTGATCTTTATAAATTTCTATGCAAGGAGAACCTCCTCCTGTTCTCCCTACCAAAAAAACCCCCAACCCCCCAAACCAGCCAAAACTGAAGTGAGAATAGCTACAGTTATGTTCACATTGTTACCCATCTCTCTAGTGGTATACCTCCTGAAGCAAACATATGCTGATCATCTCCATAATCATGGTATGTGTTTCATAATTTGGGTAGAAGCTTTGGCAATCACTGAACACTAATCATACCCCCTCACATCTAAAAAAGTTGCAAGATCACAAAAGAGAATGCTCCCCTCTCTTGTGAAGTTGTGCCTAGCAATTTAATTAACAGATAGCTGCAGTCAACTTTTGTACAGAAGCTGTAAAAACACATGAGATACCATCCAAAGTTTAAAAGAACAACGGAAAGTAAAAGCATTTCTGTACTGAGAAGCTGAGCCCAGAAATGGAAAAGAAAAGGACAACCAGCACACACATTTTGTAGCATACACAGATTGTGCTGTGTATTTACAGAATACACTTTGATTTATTGAATCAAAATTCAGAAAGCAGCCCTCATAATCATGCCACAGAAGTGATTGTTCATCCTGGCACATACGCATACATAAACCAGCTGAGAAGGTACACCTGTCATCTGATCTTAACAGTTGAATGCCACTTTTGTATTTGTGTTTTTATAGCATACCTTTGAAACAGTAGCCTCTTTATATCCCAGTCAGCTCTACATCATTTTGCTAGCTCAAGGAATATCACTTGCACATTGTCAATGCCAGGATCCTTTTATTTCTCCTTGCATTATCTGTCCTAACATTTAATTACATTTCCTCTGCTTGCTTATTTTAAGTAGTTTCTTCCTTCCCCTTTGATAGCTTCTCTGCAGACTCTCTTCCATGCACATGCTCTTCTTACTGACTTGATAAATGTTACTTAAAACTTCCCTCTTCCTAAATTGCAAAAATTCTTAATCACATTAAATGGCATATAAGCAGAAGCATTTTCCTATGTTTTCTTCCTCTTTTGAACTTTATAGAATTTCTGTGCTTTGTATTAAAACCACACTTACAGCATTATATTTCAATGACTTTTCTGTTAGGTAAATTTCAGAACGAATGCTTCTGATACCACATACACCCTCCCACACCATCTTTATCTACAGTTGCATCCTTTCTTTTCACTGATGTCTGCAGTAGAGCTTGTATCCTTTGCTGCAAAACTAAATCTAACACCTCCCTACATTCTGATCAGATGTACTATTTCAAAGAGGATGTTATTTCACTGGTAGTTCATATGAACCTCTTGGCGATGTTCCATTCACTATGAAAAATTCCATTAGTACTTCATAATTTGTAAATGTCTACTTTTTTCTTTCCATACTTTAAAGTACATGCTGAAGTTTGCCCTTATCATTTGTGGTCTTGTCCAGACTGAAGCAAATGTAGTACCACATATTTACCCAGGATATGTTCCTCCATTTCTGCCCCTCTCCCACACATCCTAGGTATCTGAGATTAAAGAAATTTTGGAAAAAAACATTTGGAAAATTATGGTTCATCACACACACACAAAAAATAAATCACCCCCCAACTCCAAACTAAAACAAAAAAGATCCTGCAAAGAGATCCAAAAGCACAGTATAGTTGATAGGACTGTATCAGCTACAGCACATGTAATAGACCAAAGAGGAAAGATGAGGAAGTAGGAGAAGGGAGGTTAAACTGCTTCGATATTAATGAACACTGCATATAGGGAGGGAATGGCAAGTGTTTAGTGTATAAAAGCAACAAGACTTATTTTGAGTATATATGGAGTAGAACAGGCAGCAAAGACATTACTCATTATTAGAGCTTGCTGGAATTTTTTTTTTTTTTAAAATCATGTGACTGTTTCAATGGAAAATTACATTTTTACCCATTTGCTTGCATTTCTGTGGAAAAAACACTGAGTTTTTATGAGGAAAAGAAGGAAAAGAATGAGGTACTTCAGTTTGGCTTGATCTGAGAAGAGATGTACTGGTTTGTAGAACTGAGCATAAACAGTGAGTTTGATATTAACCTCCTTATCTGCGATCCAACATCTCAGAGACGACGTATCTAGTCACACAGACAAGGCCCCAGTCGTAAATATAAACATAAGAGCAGAAGTAGCCTCTTCAAAGGACCCAGTCCATGAAGAATGATGGGATAAACCATGAAAATTCTTGCTTCCAGGAGGCGTTGTGCTACTGCTGGCAGATGCATGATAGTGTCATATTAGCTGCATTTTTTTCACATGTTCAAAGCAAAATTTTTTTCAGAACTTTTTCCTTTCATCTGAATTTTTGGGACAAAACCATATGTTAAAATATTTGAATTTCCTGTGAAACGGAAATTCTGACATTTTTTCTCCCCTGCAGAGTTTACCAGTAAGGAAGAAAAGAATAAGCACCAATTACTGGCTGAGTGAGTAAGTTTCATCTATCAACCAACTGGTATTGAGGTCAAAGCATACATGTTTCCACACAAATACAACCATGACATGGACATACGTCACAATGGATTACAAGAAATAACTTTAAAAGAAATATAAAATTTTCTAAAGGATAATACTCTGTTACAGACTGGATGGTAAGGACCTCCATCACATGGAATACTATTCCTTTTAGAAAGGTTTTAAATTGATAGAAACACTCATACTCCAGCAACCTGTACATACATGCACAGAGAAACAGGGAATGTAAACATGGACTTTGGATAAAGATTCTTTTCTCATACCCTATTCACACAAATCTACACCCTCAATAACTTTCATCTGTGCTACACCACAGGAATTCACATAAAAATATCTCAATTTTTTTTGTTTCAGACACTTTGCCACATGATACTTTCAAGTAGCTCAGAAGTGTTTTGAAATTATTATTTACATCCACTAGGTATGCTTTTCAGCTTGAAAACTGTTATTAAAAAAAATTCAGTAATTTGCGTACCTGTTGAATTACACTGAAGATGCAGAAAGCTAACCTGACCTAGGGTTTCTCTAGGCTGTGTCATATGGCAGAAATCAGTTTTTGATCAATGCTTTTTCTCCTTTCTGGGAAACGCAGAGTTCCTTCTTTCTCCTGCTTTACCATGTTCTTGATTGGTCTGTGTCACACTGACCTTACACCAAGCTCACAAGAACCGCATAAAATGCTTCTTCAAGTACAGAGAAACTGGTCTGTACAAAGTCCACAGATATTCTTTGTGTGAGTGTTGAGTACAATGGCTCTGCATCCCTCTTGTAATGGTTTATATCTTAGCTTAAACAGTGTTTAGAGTTGTTTTCTTTTCAGCTTAGAGTGGGTGCCAATCTTGATACTCATACAGGCATACATCTAACTCTTTGTTGAGTATCTTACTGTAAGAATCTATTGGGTTTTGTCTATTTGATTTGTTCCCTCAAATGGTCATTTTCCAAGGTCAAGGTAGCAAGTTATGGGGTTTCTATGGAAATTTTTCTTCACCACTCCAGAAAAAACCCCACATTTTGCTGTAGTTAACCACTACATACACTTGATAACAGTACATTGTATTTCAGGTGCTACGCTCAAGGACATCTGCTGACAGTAAAGCACTTATCTTTCATTCACCTTATTATCCAGTGAAAAGAAAGTCTTGCTATTGCAAATGGTAAGTATCTAAAAGAAGGTAGAATTGGATCGCTCGTTGTTTACATGTTTTCTAGTGATATAAAACACTGACTGTGGTACAAGGTCTCCAGAAGCCCATATATGTCAAAATCCTAGGGTGTGGGTTTGCAGTGCTTAAAACATACTTGACTCAGAATTCACATGCTTTTGTGAAATTTCGTTCTAATTGTAATGTTTTTTCCAGTATAACTTGGTGCTGGGTTTTTAAAATGTAGTTGGTAGAAAATCTTCATTGACCATTTGATAATACTTTTTGCCTTCAGATTCCTATGCTGAAAAT